ATGTATATGTATTTGTCTGTATTCATTTCAGTATTTTCTTTCTGTTCAAGTTAATCCTTACATTCACATACTCCCCGCGCGCCTAGGTTAAGCTCAGTGAGTTACAGATTTAATCTTTAGCTATCAGCATGAAGCCCTATGCCAAAGATCTAATCAGAGAAAGACCTCGATGTTGTTAGCTGGAAAGTTGTCTAAAAAATCAAACATCCAAAAAGGAATTATTCAAACAAAAACAATTCCACTGGAAATAAAACGAAAAAGAAATAATTAGAAACACACACACAAAGTATTCGAACAAACTTTCACATTATCGAATTAAATTCCCAATGTGATGATCAACTAAGAAACGAAGACGATTATTAAGATATTGCTTAAATAAAAAATGAAAATAAATAAATAAATTTAATATTAAAATATGAATGTTTAGATATCATTCAAAAAGTTTATAAATATTCAAGTAAAAAAAAAAAAAATAATTAAACTAATTTTAATTGAATTTTAAGCTTAAAATAAAAATACTTCAAGTCGATGTGTATCCCGTGAAAAAAAAAAGTCCTAATGGACTATTAAAAACTAAATTAGGTTAAACGAATAAAATTGCTGCTAAGCCAAAGAAATTTATAATAATTAAAATAAACAATTATAATTAATTCGAATCGCATTTTAAGTGTTAAAACAAGCAAATGTTTACATGTAATATTTGTATTTTTGAATGTCAAAGAAAAATAAACTTATTAACATTCTCATAGTTGTAACGATTTCCAAAAACTCTTATCAATAGTCAGACAAAAATCTACAGGAATAATGCATGCATTCATATTAAGTGTAATTTGAGCTGTTTCAAATTGTGAAATTCAATGGAATTTAAGTTCATATATAAACATTTTAAACAGAAACAAAAAATAAATAATTAAATTTAAAATACAAACGAATTTTGTGAATTTATTGGAAAAATATCTTTCTACTGCTGCTTGTATTTACTTTCCTATGCTTTATTCTCTCTCCAATTCTCAGTAAATATTAAATCCATTTATTAGCATCATATTCTAATGATAGTGTATGAAATAACTTAATGGTAACATTCAAAGTAGCCTTTATAGCTCACCTCGCTATCTAAATGCTTATCTTTTACATTGCTTGAATTCTCACTTCCCTCTCACTCTCTGTCTCTCTCTCTCTCTCTCTCAATCTGTCTCTCTCTTGCCTGCTGTTGACTTGCAAATGTAGCTTTGACCGTGCGTAATAGATGCAGATATCAGAGGGAGAAGCAGAGAGAGACAGTGAGTGAGAGATAGCAAGAGGGAGAGAGACTGATAAAACTTGCATTTGAAAGTGCGAGAATAAACTCATAAAAACAAGATACAAAAAAATATATATATTTGAGTGTGACGAAGTGGCAATACTCTACCAGATAGAAATAGAAGAAGGAGTTATAGAAAATATGAAGTATAGGATTTTATTTATATTATATACAGAGAGTCATATATAAAACAATATATATATATATTGCAGCAGCTGACTGTAACTAGAACGGTTTAAGGTAAAAGAGCTCGTAATATTCTAAGAGATGGATGCCAGAGGTAGAAGTAGAAGAAATTTAAAATTAGAATTAGAGGAAATTTATTAATATTTTATAAATATAAAATATCAATATATATAATATAAGAAATAAATGCAGCGAATTCTAATATATATATGTATGAATATTATCGCAAATATATATTTTATGTTATCCATAATATTCGCACAAATAATATTAGACAAATTCGCAAATATCTCAGTGTAAATTGCTCGACACCCAAACGAATTCATCGACTACAATTTCTGCTTCAGTTCAGTTAAGCATCTTTGCTTCAAAATAATAATACACTCTTTTTCTAGTGTATCTCAGCTCATCAAAGTGTGAGCGAGCAAAACAAAACAATAAACAACAAAGTGCAAAGAGGGCTGCTGAATTGTCAACAAGAGAAACAATTTTCATGCTTGATGTAATGTCCATTTGGAAAATTCACAAGATGCTAACAACCGAACACAGGGCGCTTGTCTGCCCAAAGACCAAGTGAAAAATGCTGAACTAACAGATGCTCTGTAATTATGGTAAAGAATTAATATAGAAAAAAAAAAAAATAAATAAATAAATAAATAAAATATGCCAAAAATATGAGAGATACTACCAGGATATATTTAAAGTCATTTACTGCCACAAATTAAATCGGGCCATTCAGTTTACAGGATATTAGCGCATCCACAATGCAGCATAGGAAAGTGAAAAAAGAAAACTATTTCCCTAGAACATATACTGAAAACTAAACCGAAATTTTGTGAGCAAATGGCTGGCTCGTTGCTCGCTGAACAATGGAAGCTGCATTGCTTGAACGAGGACTTCTGCTGTTGAGCTGCGAATAATGGGAATTAGGGAAAGAGTGGGCATGATGAGGTCTAAATGCACTTACGAAATTTCCATTCGCATGCGATTTAACACGGATTCGAGGCAGCATTTTGACTGGCTGAAGATGGCGCCATTGAGAGCCAATTTTACAGTTGAAATTCGATGAGAGCTTTGTATACTCTCTTAATGCTCTCTCCAAAGATAACACTCTTATAGCACTCGCTAAATCCTACATTCAAGTAGAGTATTTAGCATGAAGTAATTGCTGTTCAAGTTTCAGCGCCACAAGCCGGGGCAATAGACTTCAATTTGTGGGCTTTGGCTTGGGGTCCCAGCGATAGTAAATGTTAGTGCTTGGCAAGTGTTGAAAAACACGCAAAGTGTGGGCAACAAAGCAAATCAACAATTGCACACAGCTCGCGTGGGGCTATGCCACCCACCCACCTCTCTGGCTGGGCAAATGTTTTCCATTTTTGCCCCATCAACCCGGACATTGATGCTCCATGTGCTGGTGCTGTAGCTGTGCTGAAGGTCAGGCATATTGATTATTTCGAATTTCATTAGCTGGCGAGTCAAAGTCAAAGCCGTGTAGAGACTGGAATTATGATGCTCTGCCTGCATTCTTATGCACTTGTCCATATGCTGCACTCTGGACAGACAATGGCAAGGGATAACCAGCTGCTGGCAAGGATACGAAAAGTGCTTGGTCGATTGGCTAGCCGGGTCGGCTGGCTGGCGGATGGGTGGGGAGTCGGAGGTGCTGGTGCTTTCTGCGCTCTCAGGATTTTAATGGGCTTGTGATGATGGTGTCTGGTTAGCGTAGAAGGCTAACACGGCGGCTGCATCACGCAGCTGCAAATGCAAATCCCCTCGGCCCAGACCGGGGCCAAGTTGAAAGTTTGAGGTCAAGCGCAAGTACAGAAACCACTTAAAAGTCGCTACGTGCGCCAAGTTGCGGAACGAAAGACGCTGCAACCGGATACAACTTATTGCCATATTGATGCAGCGCAAACTCAGCTGTCAGTTAAATTATGAAAGCAGCCCGAGGAGGCTGCCGAGGCGTTTTATACATAAACTATGCTTTGTGCCGCCAGTGTGCAGCTGCTAATTAAATTCCTCGTAGACTCTGGACTGACCTTGCTCTCACGCCCCCTACCACTCCACTATTTCCAATTTCAATATCAAAGTCAAATGTGCGGGGGCTGTGCGGTGGGAGCGGAGGGGGCAGAGTGACTTCAAAGCGCGCGCCAACACAATTCCATACGTTTTTGACCCAATTTATTATGGCCAAATACATACGAAGACACGCGCACATACATATGCATATACATATGTAGAGAGAAAAAAATCAAATTAATGCTTCGCACTTCATAAATCGGGCATTGAAAATGAACAGATTAAAGGTCTGGCCAGAGCATTTTCATTTTCATTTTCACGTTATATTCAATTTTCCTATTTTCTAAACTAAAAATACAACAAAGTCGCTTTATAAATACATTAGCACCTCAATATGCTGGGTATGTATATATGTATATACTTTATATATATATAGATACATTGTATATCTGACATTCAAAACAAACAAGACATTGTGTGTGTGTGTGCTTTAATATGAAAAAGGCAGATTAGGCAAATTGGCTTTTTGGCTTAAGGCTAATGGCTAATAGCAAATGGCATAATCTCAGGTGGAAATTCGTGAGCACCTTTTACAATTGAGCAATAAAAATAAACATTTCACATTTAATTTAAATACAAATTTAAATGGCCAACAAAATTGAACGAGATTCTGTTTCACTGAATGAATTTATAAAGATATTTAAATAAATATTTATAGAATTAACAGATTTTTAAATTTTAAATTAATGCATTTTAAAAATGTATTAAATTTAAATCATGTAAAATTGTATATAAAATATTTTTAAATTGGAATAATTTATGGAAAATGATACAATCAGTTTTTTTTTTCTTTTAATTTACAAACGTAAATTTGTGTATATTAAATATGAATTTTGATTTTGTTTATTTTTTAATTGCTTGTGGAAAATCATAATTTAATATGGGATGATAAATATTGTTCTTTTCTATTTAAATTTGAAATCAAGTTTCAAAATATAAAAATAAATAAATATGTATATTTCAATTTATATTTAAATTTATTTTAACATGAAATAAATTAAAATATTTTTGTGCTAATGATAAATTTTGCTGTAGATTTGTATTGATGCAGTTAATATACAAATATATTAAATTGCTGTAAAATTAAGGTGTATAAAATATGTTTTTATTATTATTATCATTTTTTTTTAAGAATTTAAAAAAATGTATATATAATAATTTGGTACAAAGTAATACCATAATTTTAATATTTAAATCTTAAATGTGAGTATTTATAAAATTTAATTAAAAAAAAAAAATGTTTTACTTTATTTTTTGTCATTTCATTCATTTATTTACAATTTTTACAATTTGTATGTATTAAATTAAAATCAAAAGACATCAAAAAAATTATTGCAAGCGATTTTTTTTTTAAATTTAATCTTGAGATAAAGTAAATAAAATAAAATACAGAAAAACAGAAGCTGCTGATGAAGGCTGCTGTTGCTGCTCGACTCTTACTCATCGCACAGAAAGTTTATCTCGGGTTTTATCAACATATTCACACATATAAATATTTATTCAAGCATGAAATAAAAGCTTTTTATGAGAACATAAATTAATTAACTGGGATTTTTTTTTATATGTGTGCCATAAGTTATTTGTATTGAAGGCAACTTTAAAGTTGACTGAATGAGTTTTAGTGCAATATAAATGCATTTATATAAATGAATATAAATGTGTGTATTATTTATTTAGAGTATAACACTTTCTTATCAAATTATCAACGTGAAAATGTTTTGAATGAAGCTGCTTGATAAGCTAACATTGATAAAGTGGATAAGCGTGGACAAATAACAGTTATTACTATATAATATCAAATCAAGTCACAGTTTCTGTTTAGTTCTCCATTCAAATTCATATGCAAAAGACGACGACGACTTTTACATTTTCACGGTGAAAATGTCGATAAAAGTTCAATATTTCGTATATATTCTACATTTGGGATACTTTGCTACAGCAGCTGCTGATGAAAAACCGGTGAGTCAAGCAGTCGTAAGTTCACATTGAAATCGTGCTGAATTTCTTCATTTGCAGCTGAACAATGTGCTGCAGAGTAAAACCATTCACATTGTCGATGTCAATGGGAGTGCGGGCTCTATGCAGATAAATGCAACATATAAGAATATAAATACAGTAAATATTGCAAATGCGAATCAGAGTCTGTTAGCAGATCTCATTGGCACAGGTCTAATAAAATCTCCAGTCGTCCCAGCAGCAGATGTGACGGCAGTCATAAGCGAACTGAAAGCTCAAATAAACAGTCTGAATGCCTCTGTGAACTACTTAGGGAATTTGCTGACATCGCACTTAGCCGAGATGGAGATGGAGAGGGAGAGGAGGTCAAGTGGTTGCTCCGTGATCGAGAATGCGAACAGTGTTCAGGTGATCCAGATTCCTGGCTACGCTCCATTTCGAGTGCTCTGCGATTCGGATGTCGAGTGGATTGTCATACAGCGTCGCTACGATGGCAGCATTGACTTCTATCGAAATTGGCAAGCCTATCGCAATGGATTTGGCTACTATCAAGGTGAATTCTTTCTCGGCCTGGAGTACATACATCAGCTGACCACATCACGGCCATATGAGCTGTACATCGAGCTGATTGACTTTGAGAATCGCATGTTCTATGCACGATACGACAACTTTCTCATCGGCAGCGAACAGGAGCAATATATGCTGAAGTCTCTCGGCACGTACAGCGGCAATGCCGGTGACTCATTGAAATATAATCTCTATGACAAGTTCTCGACGTACGATTACGACAACGATGCTTGGCCGGGCGGCAGCTGTGCCAACTATTATGAGAGTGGCTGGTGGTACAAGTGGAATGCAAATAGGTAACTGAACAACTAGCAATAGCAGATTACCGTACCTAATTACTAACTAAATCTTTCTACTTTCATCAAGTAATCTCAATGGCAGATATATGAAGGGTGGCGAGAAAAGTGTAAAGGGCATCTGGTGGTACACACTGAATGGCTACTATTCGCTGAAATCTGTCGGAATGTTCATTAGACCGAAGTACACTTTACTCTGACCTTAGCATACAAAGTAAACTGATTAAAAACTGATTAAGTCTGGCGAAAATACAAATAAATTATTCGATTTACAATAGAAGACATGAAACACATGTTTTATTTATTGTTATTTATTTATTTTATTATATTTTTTTTATAAATTCAGGTTATATTGGTTTTGTTGAAAGGTATTAAAAGGCCATATTATATTTATTTATGATCGGCGGCATAAGCCACTCCGATTTAACTTTCTTTCAGTCTTTTATCTCCTTGAATATAGAATGTTTAATTGATATGGATTTGGATATATGCTAGTCAAGCATTCCCAACAGCAGTTCCACTGGGTATCTCCCAGTTCTACGCTCCCACTGCGACTTGAATCGTTCAATTATTTGAAATATAATCGCCCCTACACTGAACCGGAGAACTTTATTGCTTTTTGCAAATTGTTGCATAAGCAAAAACAAAATTTTGATAAGTGCCTGATTTGTTGCTTTATAAAGCGAATTCGTTGCTCAGACTAACAATATTCGCGTTCTTCCAGTCGGTCAGTGCACATCGAACATGAGAGCTCTAGACTTGTGTATTTTAAAGCTTTTTCTGCTTACATTATTGGCAGCTAGTTACGACTTTCAAGAAACTGATGTGAGTACAGTATATTTTACAATATCTGCAGTTGTTATATTTTTTGTTATATATGTTTGTTTATATAATAAATAGGCCAACTCAACTGAAACATGTAGTTCGGCTTGCCTACATGAGATGAAACCTCTGTTTAAGAGCACCCGGGAAACAAGCGAGCAATTGAAAGCTTATGAGACGTCCATGCTGGAAAAGGAGAAGAAAATTGGGAAAATACAGAAACAGCTAAATGCCATTCAAGTGCAGCAATCAAAGACTAAAGATGACCTGATGAAGGAGTTTAGCAAAGCTCAAGCTGAAGATAAGAAATCAATCGAATCAATGAAAGCCCAATTGGATGCCAATACAGAAACTCTCAAGGTAATACTTAATGAAATTGCCAGCTTGAACAGTTCGATTTCCGACTCGTGCTATAAAGAGTTGGCTAAAGATCAGGCCATAAATTGTATGCCCTTCGAAGACTCCTGCGATGTCCATGATATATTTATCAGTGGCTACGGCAATATCTCTGTGCGATGTAACGCCGATATAGCTGGAAGCGGTTGGTTGGTGGTGCAGAGACGCTTCAGTGGAAAAGTTGATTTCTATCGAAACTGGACTGAGTACAAGCAGGGCTTTGGCGATTTGAATGATGAGTTCTTTATTGGACTTGAGGCACTGCATCATTTGACCAAATCTCTGCCCTACGAACTATATGTAATGCTTGTCGATTTCAATGACAATGTCCGTCACGCCCGTTACGACAACTTTCTGATTGGCAGCGAACAGGAAAAGTATATGCTTAAGTCACTTGGCACCTATACAGGAAATGCTGGCGAATCATTATCATACAATCTGCATGACAGCTTCACCACCTATGACCGCGATAACGATCGCTGGCCTCAAGGCAATTGTGCTGTGTATTATCTAAGCGGCTGGTGGTACAACCTCTATGGCAACAGGTAACACAGGCTTTATACTCGATTAAGTTGAATACATTTATCGTCAATATCTCATCTCATTGCAGCAACCTCAACGGGCGATACTTTAATGAAAGGGTTAATAGTGAGCAGGGCATTTGGTGGTATGATTGGCAGGGCTATTATTCACTGAAGGCCGTTCAGATGATGATACGACCCAAATATACATCGATTTAAAACTAAGAAAAATATCAAATATTGATTTTTAACACATATATATTTAATTTTGTATTAAAATGTGAAAGTAATACGATTATTTAAGGCATTTTTTATATATCCATATCAATACAAATATAAAATATATGATATTGTCTAAATATAGAAATATCTATATAAATAAACATTTTTTTAAATTGTACTACAAATATGTTTTGATATTTGAAGCTTATTTATATTTCTATTAAATTACAAATTTATATATATTTTTGTTATATTTTATTTTTATTAATTAATATATTTAAATATTGAATATATTTTTCAGAAGATATTTACTTTTATTTTATCTATTTTACTTTTATTATTATTTTTTAAATAGCTACAATATCAAAATAATAGTCTTAGCATATTAATTTTCAATAAATTTTTATTTTTATTTTCTGGTATATAACAAAAAAGCTTTTAAATGTAAAAGAATATATTACCTATGTAATTAAAAAACAAATCTTAGTTTTTAATATTGTGTATTATATTTTAATCTAAAACATGCCAGTCTATCGGTTTGATATGCAAGTGTGATTGATTTATCTGTATTTATATAATCTAATTATAATCTTTATTACGTCTCACTTGAAGTAAAGCACAAAGAGGGTGCGAATCGTTGTCCAAGGTGCATATGCTTTGTCCAATCAAACCTGTTGCCATTTTTGATAGCTTCTACTCTCTGAGAGAAAAAGTAAAACACAACCGATCGAGAGACCCATATTTCAATTCCAAATCGTTCCTTTTATATTGAAGTGTTTGAAGAGCCTGATGTGAGGGGACAGTGTCGTTCTTATAGATCTTCTTGATAATTCACTCAAACAACACTTTTTCTCAGCAACAAAATGTTTATGATTTTATTGAATCTCTCCTCCTCCTCTACCTCATTAAATGACTCAAAGACATTTAACAACAATATATTCAAATAATAATACAAATATTGCTTAAAAGGCTTAACAAGCAAGGCGAAACTAATTCTACCTTTTAAGTTTATATTTCAATTAAGTTCTCTTAAATAAAAGCTCGAGAGCATTGTATGGCCTAGTCTCTATGAGAAGCATCAATTGAATATTATGTCTACAAGACTTAACAATCGTGTCAAAGCAATATCGTCTCTGCAAATCACTGCAACTGCTGCACTGTTTGACATTTAGTCAACCAATTATGTTCCTTAGAACAAAGTCTCTGTCAGTTGAAAATATTGTCTGCAAGGCTATCGAACGAAGCGTTCCTCTGCTCATAAAATCATTCTGAATGCATTAGGGTTCAATAGGTGCTTGGGGCCAAGGTTATTTGCGCGTCGAGCAACTTTGCATAATCCATAATTTTTGCATTGCCAATTGCTCTTTCAGTTTGGTGGCAGCTTTGACACTCACACACACACGTACATGCACATCCATGCACACATACAGACTCATATAAGCACACACTGGGCACACCCCTTTGGCTGCTTCGCAGAGCCAGCTGTTCCGAGCCAAAATTCGCCAAATGCGCCGTTAAGGAAATTGCTCAAATTTTGCGGCCAAATTGAAAAGTTCTTCAGCAATTTTTTTGTGCACTCTTCTTTTTTTTTTTTTGCAATTTTTTGTTCTTGTCTAGTGGGTGGACCAGCGCTGGCAGCACTTGTTGTGGTTTGTGTTTTATTATGTTTCATTCTACACTCAGCTTTTTGAGCGCATGGCTGCCTGATTGCCACCATTTCGATACTTGACTGAGCAAATTGAAAGTTTTCTCCATTTTGTTTGTGTGCTCGCTGGAAATTCTGTGGCCATTCGCCCGTTGCAGCACTCCATTTTCATTTTACTGTTGATATTATTTTTCTCTCTCTCTCTCTCTCTGCTGTTTTTGCATACGAACTAAACTAAAAATTTATAAACTATTTCGATTTGGTGTGCAGTGCCTTTTCTCGCCGGTAATCCGCTTCAGTATCAAATTGCTCAAAAGTGCAAAAGTTGTTGACTCGACCAATAAATTTGTGAATCGTTTTCAGGTTTACTTTACGCTAGCTGCAGTAATTGGACGCCAAGTCACGCCTCGGCCATATCACACGATGCATGCCAATTTAAGGCAACCACAAATCACATCGCATCACAATTGCAGCCAGTTGATTGAGTGTTATATTCGGTAAGCGAAACGCTCGAAAATGAATTTGAGTAAGTTATAAACAAGGAGGAGGCATAAGTGTAATGCAAGAGAAAATTAAAGAATTTTAATAGTAGTCAAAGCAACAATATATTAAATATTTAAAAAAAAACTTTGGAATTAACAAATAAATATTTTATTAAAAGAAAAATAAATAAATAAATAAAAACAAAAAAAAAGAAAACTTTAGAATCAGAATGGTATTCTGTTTTAGATTTTTCAAATAAAATCAGCGTCAGTAAAAATAATAATAAAATATAAATATATATAAAATATATAAATATATATAAAATATATAAATAAATATAAAATATAGATATATATATATAAATATTTATATACTCCTTTTATAAAACTAAAGTAATATTAACTATCTTTCTTTTCCGCTAATAAAACATTCCTAAATTCTACAGAATAGTTAAACTTGACATAATATAAAAATCATAAAATATTCCTTTAGCTTTCTCTCAATAATCTCAACCAAATCCAACAATTTCATCCCATACGAAATCCGAAAATGTAATAAGAGCTCGTGCGATTCAACTCAGAGTTTGCTTAATATTTTATCACACAAATTGTCGGCTTTGCTGTGGCCCAAAAACTCGAGTCACTTCCATTGTCCTCGGTTGACAGGTCGAACTCAAATCGATCAGGGCAGACGGCAGAGGATGGCGCCATGTGAATGAACCTTTTGGTCAGTCGACTTCCGTAAACAAAAGCCACACTAACTGCTTGTCTTCCTCTCGGTCAATGTTTTCACTGTTATTTTGTTTCCTCTCCTATAGCTCGTCCTTTCTTTCGTTTTGGGCTGGCATTCTTTGGCATAAACATGCCTCAAATATGTTGGTCATATAAATGGTTCACGTCATGCTTTTAGGCAGCCAGCGCCGCCTAAAACTGCCCAGCAAAAAAAAAAAAAAAAAAATAATAAGAAAACGAAAGAAGTTGCTGCCAATGACCAAGTCCACGTAGTAAATAACTTACGTGCCCAGTGGGCATGGCCAAGTGGAGCCGCCCACATTGTACTTGTACGTGCACTTGCTCTGGGGCCCCCAGCCATAGTCATCAATTACGTGAAGTGCGTGAAATGTTACACAAATTGCAGGCGTTAATAAGACGCTCCATGGCTCTAGCCCCTTCTACTCTGGGACAGCTCAAA